TGCTACTAGTAGCTCCGGGCCTCACTACTAGGAACAAGAAGCTACTAATAACAACAGGCATCGCTACTAGGAGCAAGGACGCTACTAGTAGCTCCTGGCATTACTACTAGGAACAAGAAGCTACTAGTAACAACAGGCATCTCAACTAGGAGCAAGGATGCTACTAGTAGCTCCTGGCCTTACTACTAGGAACAAGAAGCTACTAGTAACAATGGGCGTCGCTACTAGGAGCAAGGACGCTACTAGTAGCTCATTACCAGGAACAAGAAGCTACTAGTAACAACAGGCATCGCTACTAGGAGCAAGGACGCTACGAGTAGCTCCTGGCCTCACTACTAGGAACAAGAAGCTACTAGTAACAACAGGACGCTACTAGTAGCTCCTGGCCTTACCACTAGGAACAAGAAGCTACTAGTAACAACAGGCATCGCAACTAGGAGCAAGGGTGCTACTAGTAGCTCGTGGCCTTACTACTAGGAACAAGAAGCTACTAGCAACAACAGGCATCGCTACTAGGAGCAAGGACGCTACTAGTAGCTTCTGGCCTTACTACTAGGAACAAGAAGCTACTAATAACAACGGGCATCGCTACTAGGAGCAAGGACGCTACTAGTAGCTCCTGGCTTTACTACTAGGAACAAGAAGCTACTAGTAACAACGGGCTTCGCTACTAGGAGCAAGGATGCTACTAGTAGCAGTAACAAAGGGCATCCCTACTAGGAGCAAGGAAGCAACTAGTAGCTCCTCGCCTTTCTACTAGTAACAAGAAGTTACTATATAGCAGCAAGGACGCTACTAGTAGCAGTAACAAAGGAGCAAGGAAGCAACTAGTAGCTCCTGAACTTTCTACTAGGAACAAGAAGTTACTAGGAGCAAGGACGCAACTAGTAGCTCCTCGCCTTTCAACTAGGAACAAGAAGTTACTAGGAGCAAGGTTGCTACTAGTAGCTCCTCGCCTTTCTACTAGGAACAAGAAGTTACTAGGAGCAAGGACGCTACTAGTAGCAGTAACAAAGGGCATCCCTACTAGGAGCAAGAAAGCAACTTGTAGCTCCTGGCCTTACTACTAGGAACAAGAAGTTACTAGGAGCAAGGACGCTGCTAGTAGCTCCTGGCCTTGCTACTAGGAACAAGAAGCTACTAGTAACAACGGGCATCGCTACTAGGAGCAAGGACGCTACTAGTAGCTCCTGGCCTTACTACTAGGAACAAGAAGCTACTAGTAACAGCGGGCATCGCTACAAGGACGCTACTAGTAGCTCCTGGCCTTACTACTAGGAACAAGAAGCTACTAGGAGATGCATCATGGAATCTGGCGGGGCTTCATTCGATGTGTGTCAATGTTTACAATTTGATCATACATGAAACACTCCGGTCAATTCTTACAATATGCAACAAAGCCTAGTAGAAACTTTGGATGGTCTTCGTCTCATGAGCTCTATCCAATCTCCCCTGTGTCCCTGTGTCATTCTCCACCGCCGCACCTATGAAGCAGCGCACAGTCACGACAGCGACGCACAGGATAGCCCGCCGCACCTAGCGCCGCCGTCGAGCACCGAGCGCCGTGAAAAAAAATACGAAAACACAGATTCTGCGAGTTTGGGCGAAAGCTCAAAAAGAGTCAAGTCCAAGGACGCTACTAGGAGCAAAGGGCATCGCTACTAGGAGCAAGGACGCTACGTTCGGGGCTCCTGACATCGCTACGAACGGAGCAAGAAGTTGCTAGTAATAGAATTAGAATTAGAATTGTTAAGCAATTTGCTTCTAATAGCGAACCTTGTTACTACTAGTAAGGCACTTGTTACTAGAAGCGTGGCACTTGTTACGAACGGAGCGAACATTGCTTCTGTCTCGCCTCTTTGAGCATTGCACTAAACGCTCGACATGTCGACACACCCACGGCAGGGAAACACTGTGACTATAAGGTGCACCTTAAACGTTGGTTTTTCCGCATAAAAATCTGCTATCTCCAGAGTGATTTGAATTCTCCAAAATACATACATGTTACATGCATCATGCATCTACACTCGGATCAACTCAAAGGCCAAATTCTGACAAGTCTGTGGAAGCTCAGGACTGCGATTGTCGTCAAGTTCAGTGCACAAAACGGACAACTTCGTTTCAGGTCACTGCCGGCAGTTCGTTCGTTCCAACTAGAAACCGTCCTGACCTGTCATGACCAAATTTGTCCATGTTTCTTCATGAGCAAAAAACAGCTGCAGAACAGCATTGCCTCCTTCGGCTACAAGCATTTATATGCAAAGACATGTTACATGTTGAGTAGGGAAACAAGCGCTCTTTGCAAAAGACCGGTCAGAAACCTCTGGTGCATCTTTCATGGAGGAACGCGCAGCCCTTTTTTAGTCAGTCCTGCAGCACGCAAACCACCCTTTTCTTGAGTTCCGGGGCTTCGGTGGTTGAAAATCGTCGGAAACCGACGGCAAACGGTGTCTATTGTTTTCCGCTCTTTGTAAGGCCCGTTCTTCAAGTCTGTAAGCATCCCAGAAAATCCAGCCATGGTGTTTCAAAACGACCGCCTTAGAAAAATGGCAACCAAAAGGGGGATTCCCTCCTTGCATTTTTCAGTCGAACACCATTTGACAGTTAGTATATGACTTTTTGTTTTGGATGTAATGACAAAAGCGCTTCCGTCCAGGTGCCCTGCTCCCAACATGAAGTCTTCGCGCGATCACCCCTACTCAGCTAACACCTAGATGCAGCAGCGTGATGGTCCCAGCCAAGAACACAAGGAAGTAGTCCCAAGGTGGTTTAATGTCACATGCCGACAGAAGGGGTGCTGTGCTAAAGCGCTTCTTCCACAGTGATGTAGATATGCTTCAGCCGAAGAACAAACAACACAAGGGTGAAAAACGAATTCACACATTCTACAGAACACACATGAGAGAAAACATATATGAAAGATTACACGCGAGAGCTTACATATGAGAACACGTGAGCACACATTGGAAAGCACCCGCGTGAGAGACTACCGCAAAATCTGCGCTGTGCCTGCCACGAAATCTACACATCAAGATTCACATTGCGCAGCCTGGCCAGTGCTGTTCGCAACCAAAGCGATTCCAATGACAATATGCCAAAACAAGGCTTTCCTACCAAAACTTCCCCCAAAAAAAAGACTGAAAACAAGCCGGAAGACACCAAAGACCTAAACGCTGCGTCCGAAATGAAATCTGCGCATCGAAGCACAACCGCTCGGATCTCCTGCACCTTCCACGAAAAGTCGTCAGACCAAAACATGAGGGTTCCCTTGCACTTGCCACAAAAAGTGGTCACCAAGTCCGAAAAAGTGCACCACAACGATCGTCAGGAGAGTTTTGCGTGCGAAGCCTTCAAAAGCGGAATCTCAAGGCATGAATGTGCTGCCAATAGCATCAAAAATGGCCACCGGCCGGATGATAGCAGCACCCTCAATCAAACCCAATGCTTAACATCCACCGTGAGAACCCCTAGTGTGGTCACACTGTTTGGAGAAAAAGCACCAAGCAATGCTTTTCTGGAACTTCCGCCCGGGGCCCCGGCTTTACCTCGAAGCCCCACACGGCGCAGAACACCCTCTGCGCCACCGTGCGGACTTGGCCTGGAGGTCGAAGCGTCACAACTTCCTTCGACTTTGTCGTCTTGAGCGTTGCCGGAGAGACCCCAACTACACGTCATTCTGTTCACACGTTTTCAGAGATTCAGAGGTGCAAAGAAAGTGTAGAAGAAATACTCTGGATCTAGCTGCGTGTTCCTCTGGTAATCAGAATACACTGTTGGTGCCTGGTCAATAGCCAAAAAGAACTGGAAGAAACTTCTTCGGTGTGCTATGACCGTTTCTTTCATACCCAAGGTTTGTATTCGCTGTTTCTTTCAAGCTCACAGAGCCGGAACTCTTGTGTATTGCAGCCTGTCAAAGCAATCTGCACAAATCCCAACAGCCGAAATTTGAACGATTATCGCTCCAGATTGATCTCAAAAGCAAGCTTTCGGGTCGCAGATGAGCTTTGCAAACAACTCAACCCGTCTAACGTCCGTTTGGCGTCCACACGTCCACTTTGGGAACAGTCGCGGTCGCTGCCTGGTCTCAGCCACAGCCGCATGCAGTTGCAGCCCTTCTTACTGGACTCAATTTGTGTCCTGCAAAGAATGGACGCATCTCTCCAGATCTCAAACTGAATTGGGGATGCCATTGCCATTGTCAATATGTCAAGAATCACGAACCCTCAAAAACGGAAGATGGAAGACATGAAGAAAATGGACGACCAACTCGACGCTGTCCAAGAACTGATAGGTCTAAGTAGTCAGAGCATCCTGAGTCGGAAGGGTGTGGAGATGGGTGGAGTTGTGTTTCGTTGCAGTGATGTAGCGTGCTTCGTCGTTGGGGTGCTTATAGTCAAAGTGCGGGTGGTACCTCCTAATTGCTCAATCTTTAGATCTCTTTAGATCCCATCATCATCCCTCATCTTCACCAGTTTCAGCTCTATCACTAGGTCACT